AGAACATTGCACGGAGACTCTCATTAAAAATACACTTACCTTCTTCTTAAAGACATCAGAGGACAAAATACCCATTTGTCAGTAGGAATATTTCCAACATGTAATCATTTCAACAGCTGGACAATGAAAGAAGCTAGCTTCACTATCATAAGTGGTCAGTCAAAGCACATTTTAAAAATGTAGGCAATTTAGAATAGGAATCTAAGTTATTTTTGAATGCCTGCAATCTTGGGCCTTTCATTTTGTCTAGAAGTTTAGGTTTTTTTTATGTGGTAAAAATACAAACTACTTCGTAATTAAAAACAGATTACAGTTATGAACACCTAGGGAAAGGAGGTGGTTTGTAACTCTGAAATGTTCATAGTACTCAACAAAATGTTGCAGTTTCTCTTTCAAAAGTTTACAACTGAGCCACGCTGTCCTGCAACAATATCCACTCAGCACCATGAGGGATAATCATGCACCACAGAGCCTGTTACCGCAACCTACTTCTTAAGCTGTCCTATGGTCAACTGAAATTAGAGCAGCCTATAGATTGCTCTAACGTCAGACAGAGGGATATGGTCCCTAAAAGCCCACATGTCAGCAGAGAATTGGCCTAGGGAGGCTTCATTCCGTCCCCTCCCCATGCCAAATTCACTTCCTCCCATGGTATGTCCCTTTATGCCAGGGAGGAGGCTGGCAAAGGCACACTCCACTGGCGCTATGTCAATTAATAATTATGCTCTACCATCAGAGTTCACAACTGGACAGCTGCAGCAACATTACAACTTCTATGTCACTCAGCACAAAGGGGAGTGAAGCGGGTCAGAGACTCCAGCCCGCCCCCCCTTTTTTTAAGTTACAGATGAAAAGCCAAAGGCTAAGGTTTTTAAAGAGTTACAATTACTGACAAATTGAGTTATAATTGCTGAGCATAAAAATCTTACTTTAAATCTGAATATACTGCAATTTTTCCCCAAAAGTTGAGGGAATAGCAAGGTAAAACCTAATGACTACTATTTCCTTATGAACTAGAAGTTGGGGCTATGCGCTATTTTTTGTGTGCAAAAGTAAGCAAATCAGGCTAATTTCTAGGCAAAAAATCTGACAAGTAAAATTCTGGAGATTACACTAAACCACCATACCTTTTGCTGACAGATGGTCCCTTTATGTACTTTTCCTCTGCTTTCTTGTAGTCTATATCATCCACAGCAGAAATTGCATAAATGATGGCCTGTAAGAAAACTTTAGTTTATTGACGCCAGTGGAACATTACAGTTTAAAGTTATATCCTATTTAGTAAACTTTGCTCATCCTGTTTTTGACAAGTATATATTTAAAGGTATCAAATTCAGGAAATAAACTTTCCTGTAACACACGTGGGACCTTTTGCAGCCACAGAGCTAGAAGTTTAAATTTACTTTTAAGACAGGTGGATGGACCTTTTGCAGCCATAGAGCTAGAAGTTTAAATTTACTTTTAAAAGAAACGCTTTAGTTTATATAGAAGTTGGAAAAGTTCCTTAAGGGGAATTTTCAAGTATTTTTTATAAGCTACATAATAGATGTATTCAAAGAGTTTAGGAAACATTGTGTTGTGTAGTTTTTTAAAAATGCACAGATTAGAATAAAAATATTCCAGAAATAAATTATAATTAGTATTATTCTGTTACCTTTAGGGAAGACAGTAGTGTCTCACACGGACACCAGAAATACATAAGCTCAGGGAAGCTATTGCATAGTGCTCTTATTATGCATCAACGGTTTGTCAAAAACAACCTTAGTGTTTGATACTTAAATTGGGGCTTACATGAAGTTTCAGAATAAATCATGCTGGACAATGATTTTAAAATGGAACGTGCTGCCGTTACGCTGGTGTGCATACTCACTTTTCCATAAGATAGCAACACCGAGGAGACAGCCTATAATGCTAATTTGAAAAAAAATTCAAATAATATTTACAATATATACATATAAGCTTTCAGATTGCTGTGCTGAACCAAATGTACAGTTTTGACTTCCGAAGGCTAAGGCACAGACACATGATTTAATAATAATTTTGAAACTTTTAATCTTAGTTGCCTAAATCCAGAGTCAGGCACTTAATTCGAAGAACCTAAGATTTTAAACTTGCCTTGCTCAAATGTCACTCAATGACTGTAGAACATTAAGCAAGTCTCTGAACCAAGATCTAACAGTAGTAAGATGTTTACTTACTTCAGGTAAAAGGACATCCAAAATAAATTTTATTCTATCCCCATTTTTTACATCCAACTTCCTAGTGTCTATTTCATGACAGACTTCTTGCAAATAATTCACCACGAGGTCCAACTGTTCTTCATCCTCAAGGTAGGTCTCACAGGTCATATACTGACTTGAATTCAGAAATTCTCTTAGCCACCTGGACTGCTTTTTGCTTTTCAGAATAGCCACAAGATGCTCTTCTGCCCCCTTTGTCTTTACTATGAAGTCAACGATCTTTGAGTTGGCTTTGTCTCTGGCAGCTCTTGTTCTATCAGGAAGAACTTTCTTGGAAGGCAAGATAGGTGTAGTTTCTGACACAGATTCTTCAAGGTCTTCTTCTGCGATGTTTGGGAAGGACATTGGTACTCTACCTTGATTAACTTCTTTTCTAACGGGATAGCCTGAAAGAAAAGCCAGTCTTAAGTAACTGCACCCAAATAAATGCAAAGAAGAAAAATAAAAATATCTGATTCAGGAAGAGAAACCTTTACTATGCCAGAAAAGAAACTAAAGAATTGAAATGTGGATAGAAGTGGTTTGGAAATTAATTCGTTCTCCGAACCCAGGAGTTCCCATGATGAAGTGAGCCACTGGTTAATCTACTGTGGCATCAAGTTTTCATCTGCAGTTGTTAGATTGACAAAGAATGAAGGCACCCCATAAAGCACAATGTTGTTTGTGCGATTCTGGATGTCAGTGAGGTGGGGCTGGGTGAAGTAAAAAACACATACCACATGAACAATCTATGCCTAGCAAGAGTAGTATGGATTTCCCCACGCCCCATCCCTTTCTCTGGGGGCCGTACCGAAGGGAAGAGATGGAGGCAATGGGGTATTTCTGATCTACAACATTAAACAACTATTATTCATTTGCATAAGCATTGAAAAACGTGCTATAAAAACTGACCAATAGATTTTCATTGCCAAAATGAAGTTAAATTAAGGCAAGTTAACAGCATAAGTTTTAGGCATCCCTGAAGTATCGGCATGTTGTCAGAAAAACTTGAAGAATTAGGTAGATTGTCTAGGAAGACTTCTACCTGGCTGACATGAGGAAAAAACCCAGCCTCACCATGTCAATACTTACTGATATCATCAGCACAGTATTCCAAGAAGGATCCTGTAAAAGAACGACATCCTGAAAAAAAATAAAGGCATCTTTGTCAATCCAATCGGAACCTCTGAAAAATCAACTTTTGAGATTTTCTATGTAAAGGCTGCACCTAAAGGAACTTTACAGCTTTTAGGGAAATATGCTCAAATTAAGGTGCTATAAATCAAGACATGATTCAACCATTAAAATATTTTGGTGAAATACCCATACAGTGTGCCAATTTTAAAACTGAGGAGATACTAACGATATTTATCAGATTAATCTTCCTCAACCTATGAAAGACATTCAACATATTTAACCACCACATGGCCCGTAACACAGCACCTTTCAACAGAGCATTTCAAAGCTTAAATACTTACTTGTTTGAGGATGTGGCCTAATGGTCTACTGCCAAAGCAGAGAGCCATGAGCACGTCACTTGCCTCAACTTCTTCCCCATCGATACGATGGGGAAACCTACTTTTCAAAGAGGCACTGTGAAGATCTGCCGGTCTCTGATGGACTATGTAAGTATTTTTTCAGGTCCCATGGTATTCAGCCCACAACAAGTAGCCCTTGTGAAGCCCACAAAACATGGTGCCACAAAATTAGAACCCTCACACAGCTGACAACTGTGGGGAGGGGAGCAAAACAGGAATGTTTTAATCTTTGTACATTTTCTCTTGCAGACTTCATTTACTCTATATTAGAGAGTTTTTCTGAGTGAGGGAGCCAGTCCATCTATTTGTTCAAGAACTCCTCCTAAACAGCAAGAGCTAGGACCATCACATTTACTAGGCAGCTTCCTTTTATCATAACTTCAAAGCAAGATCAGGGTTTGCTTGTGCTAGGACAATGGGATATGCCTGGAATGCAATTGTTTTCCATGACATGGAAAGGAAGGGGGCTGCTAGCAGGGACAGTTATATTGTGTAATAATCACAGGAGAGCAGCCAACGGCCAGAGATGGGAACTGGGACAACTATACCCCATTGAGGTAGCAAGGAACAGCAGTGGAAATAAGTTTCCCACCCAGTCAGTGGTGGCCCCCGCCAGCTCCTGCACACGTTACACTCTCAGCCTCCTTTCATGTGCCCTCCTTGCTCTGACTCCTGCCCCCTTGCCGTGAACTGCTCACATCCCCAAGCCTGTGCCCTGACTTCTGCACTCCCCACACCACCCACCACCAGTCCCTTGCCCTGAAGGATCCAAGCAATGCCAGGTAAGTGTTCTACTACCTACTATATATTTTAGAGCGTTTATATGCAAGAGTTAGGACCACTAAATTTGGTATATAGCTCCCTCTATCATAAGATAAAGTAACATAGGGTTTGGTTGTGCCAGGAAAATGGGATTGCATCCCAGAAAACCAAACAGAAAAGAGACAGAATCACCAAATCAAGTACAGGCCTTAAAAGTGACACAAATGAGCAAATGTTGAAAGATTGAACCAAAATGAGCCACAAAAATAGGATGAACCTGGAATAGGATTACTTGTCAATAAACCTAACAGGAAAGAGATAAAATGGAGAACATTGGAGTACTGCTCTGTTTTAGCACAGCTAAATCAATGCTTAAGGTCTGAAAACTAGAAGAAAATGTTATTGGAAACCAAACTGACCATAGTCCTTTTTTGTTAAAACATAGCAAATCATAAGATTTTATAGGGATGAAGAAAATAAAACACACTTGATAAAAATTCACATTTTTAAAATTTACTAAAAAAAGTAGACAAATTTTAACAATCCCTTTTTAAAGAAAACTGCAACAAACATTAACTTCATAACGTAATACTGTATTTTTAAATAATACAATCATTTAAATTAAGCACGTACATTTTCCTTTTATTTTCCAACCCCCTCCCCCAAAACCTTAATTGAGTTAAGGTCTTGAGCAACGCTAAATAAATCTGCTAGTATTATAGAAACTAGAAAAAAAATCAGGTGTATATGTTTCTTCTGAGGATACAAAGCACCTAATTAGTCAAGACTCAGCATCTAGTGAGGTATAGTTATCACATGGGGGACAAAATGCTGTTCAAAAAGAAAGAGTTAAGTTCAGCCGGCAATAAATTCCAGGTCTCAAGTTTTCTACTCTACCACAGTGTCCTGTAAGAATAAAGGCTTCAGCTACACCAACAGACATGACTGGCATCCTTGATCCATTTCCTTACCTACTCTAATTCTGTAGTCAGCAATCAGTTTAATGCACCACTTGATTTCCTGGCTGTAGTCCTCTTTGGCTTTGTCCTACAATATATATATATAAAAAAAGTCAAGGGGTTGGATTTTTTTTAAAAACTCAATAATTCCTCCTCTCCTATCCAATCAAAAACAATGTGGAGACATTGTGTCAGTGATATTCTGCAACTGATTAATGTGTCCATTGCCATCATAAAATGGATGAACCTTGCTTAGGAAATTGCTTGTTTCTATTTCCAAGGGGAGAAATGGTTCCCAGGTTTTGGGATTGCTTTACAGAGGAATCCTAAGATTTCTTAAGGCTTGCAGAAGTCAAAGCCAACATGGTCTGAGCTTTGATCTCTCCCATCCTGCAACTAGTAGAGATGTAATAAAACTGAATCACTACTCATTGGCTTTTATCTGTTCTTTATTCCATAATACAGTTTCATGAAAATGTCCTTTTGCAAATCTATTGTTTGTATAACTTTTTTCAGCTGGAATGCAGTCTTGAACAAAGTAAATGTGAAGTCTGCTTCTTATTACTGTACTTACTGTTAGCTTCTGCTTTTCTTCACAGTCAAAGTGCTTTAGATTTTTGAGACCTGTTGAGAAACTGCATGAGCAAAACAAGAGGAACATAGTCAGTGCATGCAGACAAGCTTATATTCCCTCCTTCCCCTCAAATTCTACATCTTCCTGTATGTTAGGAATCAGAACTAGCTTGAGAATAGAATTTGCACCAGTTTTAATCCTTGTGAGCTACCAGTTTATATTCAAAGAACTGTTTGCTACCAAATCGTATTAGGCACAAGACAACCGATTTAGGAGAGACGTTGACAAGCTTTAAGAACTGCTATATTTAGTGGTCCTCCCAGAGATAAAGATGGCCACATGAAGACTGAAGTGCAAGTGTGAAGCTGCTTTGCAGAATTAAGCCAATCCATAAGGACAGGTACATCCACCTTTACTCAACATATGCGTTTTTGTAAAGTTGAGTATCCTTCTGTATGCTCTGCAACACACTGAACAAAGCCATGCACATTTTAAGGGGGGGGGATGGAAATCTGTAAAGATTGTTGGCAGTTGTAACAGGATGGACCAACTAATAACTACTTTATGGTTGGCCACCCTGAGCTTCAGTATTAGAAAAAGGATTCATGTTCTGAATCCCTCTATTCTGGTTAAGACAGCAAATTTCTAACAAATGGTAAATGAAGTTAGGAAACTAATCAATCAGAATCAACATATATAAACAACAAATACCCCTTTGCCTTCTTGGCATTCATACCACCTTCTATTAGCAGCACGTTTGCTTTCTTATATTTCCGCTTCACGCTTTTTATCTGTTGAAAATAAAGATGTGTTAACATACTAGAAACTTGATTGCTTAAAGCAATCACATTATTCCCACTTGCATCCTTATACACTGCTTCATTACTGTTACAGAAAGCAGATTCAACTTGACTCTCAGTGTCCAATAGGCAAACAAAGCTAACACAATGTGTACATTAAGAATAGCATGAGTGCACACGGCCCTGTTTGTTTGGTTTTTTAACTGAGTATATTCCCTTATTGCCTTACACTGGAAAAAAGTATAGTAGCATGATCAAAGTTACAAATTAAAGACTAGGTAACTGATCATTTAGAATTATTTGTCTTTGGATGCTACTGTTAACACTGCATCATGATGTACATGAGTCATTCTTTCTTCATTAGAATAGTGTGACATTAACAGCCATAAGAGGGACCATATACTGGCTGTTTGACAAGTGGCAACGTAACAGTACAATGAATAAGGAGGAACTCAGATTTTACTACCTAATAGAATGGGTTTCAATGGAGAATTTATCGTACGTTACAAAATTCTGAGGGTGAGCCTACACTGCACTCTTTGCTTGAAATAAGCTACTCACTTTGAGCTAGGCAAATTGTGTATCTTATTTTGAGATAATTTGTCTACACAGCACCAAATTTTGAAATAAACCACTATTCCAAAACATTCCTTAATCCTCATGGAACAAGGCTTACAGGGACGTTGGAATAGCACACCCGTTACTTCAAAAGATTTCAAATAACAGGCGCATTGTCAAGATGAGGAATAGCTATTTCAGGATACCAGAAATATCCTGAAATAGTGCCGCAGTGTAGATGTACCCTATGTGACTATCACCTTCTAGGAATCTGTAGCAATTGCTCTATTTTTAGAGACCAAAACTTGCAGCTAAAGAGTTTTCATCCTTAACATCGGTCTCTTACTTAAAGGTGACCTCTGGGAAAAAAATATTGGAGTTCTGCCCTTTTTCTACTTTATGGGATTTAAAGATTGTGTTAGAAGATTTTACAAAAATAGTTTTGCCCCTGCTCACTTTTGCATTCAAAATTTAAGTTCTCTTTACCCTGAAATATTACAGTGATTAGTGGATGAGGGAAAACATCACAAGAATCAAGACCGATAAGCAGCTTAGCAAAGCATTAATTTTCACTAGGGAGATAAAGCCTTGGGAAGTGGGTTGTTTTCTATTACAAAATATTTAATTCAAATGCCTAATGAGCACTTTGAATCTATAATAGTGGCATCTTTTGTCCATAGCCCTATTTAACTTAGTGGAAGTGAGCACTAATGAAACATTTGACACAACACCCTTCTGCACACACATCCAAAAGAAATTCTTCCAGCTAAACTAAAGAAGTCTAGCTTTGACATTCTTGATATTTTAAAAGATAAATTTCTTTTAGGTGGTCTCTATACACAAGAGGGGCATACAAATCCTTCACAGTTCATTTAGCAAGCTCAGATCTGCACCGCAATCCTTGCCATGTGAAAGCAAAAGTCTATCCTGCTTTCAGGTAGCATTTATTTTGAACAAACACAACATGGGGAAGAGGACTGAGTGTTCTCAACTCGCCCTGAAGTCAGTTGGGGCTGAACATTACTCAGTATAAGCCATTTAGGTTTCAGAATCAGACTCTCAGATCCCATTTTCAAAATAGAAGCAATGTGCTGTTCTTACCACTGCCGGCCAATATGGGTATCTTGGCAATTTGCACCAGACTAACATCCCTGGCTCAATTGAACATGGTTCTATGGCAAAAAAAATAAAATTAATTGGACTACATAATTAGACAAGTCATATTTGAACATCAGCGATGCTACACGAACAAGTAAGTCTCTAAAGTACCACCTTGTAAGTTACAGTAAGAAACAGGATATCTTTGTGCTGTGTATTGTTTCTGTGTTATGAGACAAGGAGAATAGATGCACCTGAGCTAGTCTCTACACTGGTCATTATTCTGTATGTTATCACCATGCCCTTTTGTTGTTACACCTTTAAGGTAAAATAGCCTAACATTTCCATCTCTGTTTGTATAAGAGTTTTTTTCCATGGCCCTAAATCACTCATCACCCTTCTCTTAATGCCTATACAATAGCCTTAAATTAAGATGGGTAACCTAATCTTTGTTCTTTGTATTCAAGAACAAAGTGCCCCACTGATTATATAATGACATTATAATTTTTTGGAATATGGATCAGATAGAGAAAAAGATTTGGCGAGGCTGAATGAGGGAGCCAAAGCAACAAGTATAGAAGTTTTTTGTGAACTATGCCTAAAGGGAAGCATAGTACGCAAAGTATATACTTCCAGCTCCATGGTGGGACTGGGTAACATACACATCCTCTGACATTCACTCACATCTGCAGTGAAAGGGGAAAAGACAAAAGTCATCGCATCACTAGCAGCTCTTTCCAAAGACTAGTTACATTCTCTTCTTACCTTGACGTAAAAGAATACTAGGAAGTTCTTCATCTTCCTCTTCATCCTCATCTACTAAAGTTGAGTCAAGAGACACACTTCCTGGAGAGCAAAACTTCAAAGACAGATCAGAGGATTCCAATCCTGTCAGTGAAGTGAGATAAGAATTGTTTTATCATGTTTTTCGGGTCATTAAGAATTACTATTAGGATATTTTTCAGATTGTTTTGAATGACTGAGTTCATTACCTTCATTCATTAAGCTATGAAAATTTGCCCTTGTGCATTCTACCCTAGGCACACCGGCATAATTCTATTAAATTCAAATGGAGTTATCAAACTTATATTGGTGTAAAATCAGAGGCTAGCCAGTGAATAGAGTTAAGAGCCTAAGAAATTAGGAAGGGGAGAGGAGCAGATTTCTCTAAACAAGTATCTGGAAACAATAAAAGTCTTTAAGAAAGAAAGGGGGGAGGGACTTTTGCTAAGGAAGAATCCTTATGGCTCAGAGAAAGGGAGAAAGTCAAAACACATGAGCTGCCTAAATTGAAGGAAACAGAATACATTTTAGACAGACAAGCTAATCTCATTTTAGACAGACAAGCTAGTAGCAATATGAGTATTGAAGAAATAATTATTCAAATATAAAATGCATGCAAATTAGTTCATGGGTATTTAGCCATATTATACAGCATGGCTTGCCCTTGGGCTGAAGAGCCTGGGACCAAGCGGATGCGGACTGCCAATTCTCTATGAAGGGTCAGGCAGAAAGTGGCTGCAATAAGGGGGAAGCATGGAAGACTACAGAGGAGTACCTACAGGGAAGACCCTGAGCGCAAAGGAAATGCTACATTTAGGAAGAACTGGGAGCAGCCTGCAGAAGCAGAAGGGACTCTGAACAGACCAAGGGAGTCTTGTCTGTAACTAGATGCTGGAGAGAGAACTTTTGCATTTTGTTTTTAACTTTATAAATTAAACCCTACAGAAGCCAATGGCAACCATACTGGGAAAAACCCTGTGCAGAGTGGATTTGGGGATCCAAGAAGGCAAACTGAGGTGAAGAGCTACATGAGGGACCGCCCTGAGGCCATAAGGAGATGCCATGAGGTGGCTACTTATCTGCATCATAATTCTACTACAACACACAACATGATCTATACAGATTAATCCATAAGTAAGAAGTTCAGTGATGATTCACACACTGGAGAGAGATAATATATCTATAAGCATGTACTAGCCAGCTTTTTTGCACAGTACAAAAAATTTAAAAAAAACAGCAAGCTATGCTTCAGCTTTGACCAAGACCATCTATGAAAAAAAATGCAATTGGAAGGAAGCATCTAAGCACTTGTCACTAATTTAATGAACTTCGTAACTGGAAATAGAACAGGCTTATTAATGCTCTTTAGAGCTGTGAATTCTGGAAAAATGGAATTCAAACAAAATCCGAAGGAGTGGCGAGCAAGGCAAGATGTGAAATTGAGTGCTCAAGATACAAGTATTATCTGCCTCTTTATAATAGTACACTTGTCAATGGATGTAGAAACTGTAGATATTCAAAGAGTAAAACATCAAGTAAAAGGATGGGAGACAAGTCAAGAATTAACACTGAAGAATTACAGGAGGAATTGACTAGGCATTAAAATATAAGCTTGCGTGATTTTCATATGAACTGTTCAGCGAAAGAACTAAAACCTTCAAAACAAATGTGTTAAGAAACTTATCAGTTACTATCAGAACACTAAAGGGCAGTAAAATCCTATCAATTAATGGAAGGTTTGGAAGTTCCCACTATAATGCTGAACTGCAAAACAGAGAGCTGTCTGGCACAGCTAAAAGTTAAAACATTTACTGAAGTAGAAATGACATCACGAGTACTGAAAGGGTACAACAGTGAGCATCTTAACAGCTTATTAATAGGGAGATCCAATTATTATACCACTGTACGTTTTTCTTAAAATCTCACTGTTGTAATGATTATTGTTTTATGTCTGATATTTACATGGATAGGAGTTGTAAGCTTCCTAAATAAAAACAGCTTAATAAAAAATAAAATTTGGTGAATCACAGCTAGTACTGGTATATGATTCTGCATTATAACTCTCAAACCTAAACACTGCTTAAATGGAGAAAATGATGTTTCCCCCAAAGGGGACTACCTTCCTTCTAGCCAATATTTAAATTTCAGGGAAACTAAATAAAAAGGTTGGGTAGAGGCACTGGCCATGGTGGATGTTAGTATAAACTGCATATTCAGTTAACGCCTTCCCCAAGCTATTGCAACTTCCCACAAAAATAGATAGTATTTGAGCATCAAGTCACATAAAGGTCCTAGTTCCCCCAATGAAACATTTACCTTCTTCGTCTTCATCAAAATCAGGTAGCTGACAGTTTTTAGCTTTATTCACAGGATTGTGTGAAATAGCCTGATTCTCTTTTTCAAGCTCAGAAAGAGGACTATCCAAAGAATCTTTGTGTTCAGAAGCACCAGATAAAGGTTCAGGACCACTTATACATCCCCTTTTTCTGCATGTTGGTGAAACTGCAGTAGTCTTTTGTTTCCAGCTAGCACACTTTGAATTCACTGTTTCTCTGCTCCCATCTAAAATTTTGATTTTCTTTGCTGGAGAGTCACTCTTGCCACTGATGTTATTCCCCAATTCAGGTGAGGCACACGTAATAGAAAAATCCAGCAATCTCTTTCTGGGTAGCCGCCTAACATTTGGTCTTTTTCCAACTGATATTAAAGTGGCAGAATTACAGGAAGAAGATATTGGGGTACTCTCACTAACAAAAGCACGTGCTGTATCATCTGGGAATTCAGTACGAGGAGATGAAGGTTCACCCGCATCTCTTGGTCTCTTTCTTCCTTTTGTACTTTTCTCATTCTTTTTTAGCAATGGGGAGACGTTTTTTCCTGTTTTGGACTTTTGCAACAATTCGGAATTTACTTTTTTCTGTTTTTTTAACATTTTTACTTTTGATTTAAATGTCTTGCAGTGCTGGCTTTCTGACTGCCATGTCCTAGAAAAGTCCCCAGATTCAGATACTGACGATTTTGTTCCATTTCCACATGTTTTAGCTGCCTCCTCTGAACTGAGCTGACATTTTTGTTTGTTTTTTTCTGTATCAGTTTGTGGACTGGGTGTCTTTTGTTCCCTTTTTTCCTTCAAGGATTCACCTCCTTCCAATTCTATTTTTGGGGAAAATACTGGACATCTAGTCACAGAAGAAGGTAATGAAGTTATTTTATTCTCTTTCTGTGTTGATCGAGTAGTCTGTCTATCATCTGAAGACCGTACTTGTTTCGGAAAGTTACTCAAAATATCTAGAGCGATTTTAAGAGCTTTGCGATACTTCAGTTCTTCCACAGGATGCCTAGGCTTATTCTTCTGATCTGCTTAAAGAGATATCAAGAAGTAATGACTTTTCCTTTGTGTATTAAAAAGATAACATACTGTTTTTCTAGTGTCTCTTGCATGGTGCATCACAGAGCGCCTGGGCTGCCCCGCTGCCGGAGCCCCTCTGCGGCTTTACTCCGCGTCTTCCTGGTCTGCAGACCAGGGAGACGCGGAGCAGCTTTTCTCGCCCCGGAGTACACGGGCGGCGGGACCGCGAGGTCCTGCAGTCCGTGTCCTCCGGGGCGAGAAAAGCCCCGTTAGTACCTGGAAGTCGGGGACTGCCTGTATACCCGGCGTATAAGACGACCCCCGATTTTTTGGGGATGTTTTTTAGCATAAAAAGTCGTCTTATACGCCGGAAAATACGGTAATAATAATAATGTATTTTCCCTTTTTCTACAAAATAACTACTATGAATATGTAATCATGAGGGGGCGCAATTTTATATTCTTACCTCGGGCGCAAAATTAGCTAGTTACGGCACTGCTGATTTTGGAAGCCTCACTGGGAATTGCATGAGTCAGGTATGTAGCTATCCACCCATCTATTTCACCCTTTCCTACTGGTCATGTAAATTATTAAAGCTTTAAAATTACTCCACCTAATTCAGAGGCAATTCTTTGTATGTGCTCTTTCTCCAATGGCTCAGTGTCGGTACTGTTCACATTAGTCCTGAAAATACAGTAAAATTATTCTAGAGTATTAAATTGGTAATGACATTACATTAAGAAGTTTTGTTTTCTTTAGGCCATAAGAAATCAAAATACTGAGGAACCGATATGGATTAGCAGAACACAACTATCACATTGAGAGGAAAAAACCAGCATAATTTGCTGATTAGTGTGGACCGTAAAGACAATACAGTAAACTTCCGATAATCCGGCACCTTTAGGACCCAGGGGGTGCCGGATTATCAGATATGCCGGACTATCAGAAGGGGGGGCTATGAGGGGTCTGGAGTGCGGTGGGAGGGGATGCCACCCCAGACCCCTCATAGCCCCCCCTTACGATAGTCCGGCTCTGCCCCAGGCGTCCCTGATTCAGCCGCTGCTGGTCAGTTT